TCTGTGGACTTAAAAGGGAATTCTTCTTTTACATGCTGGGAATTATGCAATGCCTATTTCTGTAAAACAATAAGCTAATATCCCTTGAAGTAGTGAAAAATATTTTACTAACTTGTCATAATCTTAGAGAAGAGGAAACGTTGGATATAATTTTAGACATAGAAAAATCCACTCAGAGGGCAGTTACTTTGTGCTCATGCTTCCCATGTCTCTTGATTGAACTACCTGTGCTTTGAAAATGATGAGGAAATAATGCATCTTAATTGGACACAGACAGGCTTTCCCCTTCATCACCACTCTAAAGGATACAGCATGGCATCTGCTTACACACTACTCATACATTAAGCATTAAGGATCTCAAGAAATTTTCAGTGATTTCAACCATAGGGGACATTGCATAGAAGACTGTCCCCCCTTATGCAGGATTTGAGTAGCAATAGATTTGGGTATCTGCATGGGGCCTAACCTCAATTTTCCATATATAGTGAGAGATGACTAAACTGTGAATAGGATTATGTTGTTCCTTTAAATGGAAACTATAATCACTTAAATATATTTTAAGACTAATATAATTTGCCATACTGTTTTATTATGCACATTGAGGTACAAAACATGTTATCTACATGCATATATAAGTATACAGCCATCAATTATTACAGTCAGGAAAAGGAATGTATCCATCTCCCTATATAGTTACCTTTTTTTTTTTTTGGCTGTACATACAGGTGCCTAAAATCTATCCTTTAGTGAATTCCCTGGATACAATGTAATGTTACTCCATGGAGTCCTTACAAGTACAGCAGTAACCACATTTTTCTCTTTTCTTCAATGCTACAAATTTTTAGGGAACTGTAGAGCCCATGATTCATTATTCACCAATACTATGACAACATGGAAAAAAGTGTCTGAAATGGCTTTGGTGTTCTTGTTACTTTGTGTTGTTTTAGATTGCAAACCGGGTTTCCTGAAAGTGACACTGTATTTTCTTGTCCTAACAGTTCTGTGAGATTTCATTCTGTCCTTCCTCTGTCCATATATAATGTAGTAACATCCTCTATCAAGCTTTCAACTTCAACATTACTCTGTTGGTTCTTAGGGAAGGGCTATTTTAACACACATTCAGTTCTAGTCATTTCTTCTAGAGATTTAGTAGTTTGAATCTCTCAAGGTTCATTTTATCAGAGTCCTTAAATTTGTTAGATGTTTTCATGATTTCATTTTAATTATATTTTAACAGCCTTATTGATAATTTTTGACATCATTGTTATATTTGGGATAATATTTGTCTTTGTTTTCGTCTCAGTATCTTTCAAAGAATTAGGTTTCATTATGACATTTTCAAACAAAATTTTCACCTTCTGGTTCTCTCCTTCCCCCTTTCCTTGTGCCCTCTCTCCCCTTTGTGACTCCCACTCCCAGTAGCCACCTTTCTGCTGTCATGCCACCTATGATCGTGTAATTCTGCTCACACACACTTTCTCAACACTTCATTATTGATACATATGTCTGCCTCTACACATGGTCTGATAAATATGGGACTCAGTGTCAGAACAAATAGGAGATAGTTCTCTGTGTGTGTGTGTGTGTGTGTGTGTGTGTGTGTGTGTGTAAGGAATAAATGGCATGGCTTGGTTTCTAAGTATGGACATAATCCTTCAGAGATTTTATGAGATAGGTATTTTCCCGGATATACTTAGTATCCTAGAAAGAAATAAACAGAACATAAACAGTTAATGATGCTGATGATAAAAATATTCTAATGAGTGGAGAACTTGAATACAGTTTTGCATCTATGTTTATATCATAGTTTTCAAATTTATTCATAAATATTATTATACTCATATTTACATGTTCATTTAGAAATAAATATTTTGTGCACCGGGCAGTGGTGGTGCATGCCTTTAATCCCAGCACTCAGGAGGCAGAGGCAGGTGGATCTTGGTGGGTTCAAGGCCAGCCTCATCCACAAAATGAGTTCCAGCCCAGCCTGTTATACCAAGAAACCCTGTCTCCAAAAATAAATAATAAATTAATTAATTAATTAATAAATGTTTTGAGCTTATGAACAAAAGCAGTGAGGAAAAAAGGGAGTTTTAATCATCCATATATATATATATATATATATACATATATATATATATATATATAT